GAAAAAAACAGAAAAATGTCATAGAGGATGTAATTCTAATTTCTAAAAATATTTATTTATAAATATATATTTTATAATAAATATCATGCTTCTGTGATTGCAGGTGGAAAGGAGCAGGAGAAACACAACTGATATCTGGAGTTGATAAACTAAGTCTTAGAGAAGTTGAGTAACTCACTCAAGATCACGCAGTCAGCAAATCAGGGAGCCAGGAGCTGAATCCAGACAATCTGGGTACAGATCCTGCACTTTGAATCACTGTGCTATGTTGCCTCTTGGGTACTCTCAATATATAACCTGTGAGCCTCAAAGCAACCCTGCCAGGTGGGCATTATTATCCTCGTTTTATAGTGACTTAGTATCTTTGGGACATGGTGTCACCATCTTTGAAACAGGCATGAATAAACATCCCCATGAGAGGATAAAACGAGAAGATGCCTGTGTCTATACTTAATAAGGGACTTCACAAAGCACACAGTACAAATGGGACACAGCTTTTTTGTCAAGTGGGACACACAGAGGCTTCACTTTGAGTGGGTGAGTTAGGGCCCCTCTGCTTGCCTGCCTGCTGGTCCCTCTCAGGAGACAGTGCCCAAGGTGACAGCATTAGGAGATTGGTGGTCATCGAGTCACATGAAGGATCTGTTTTCCATTTTTAAATCTAGCCATCAGCCATAAATGAAAACAAAAACAAACAAACAAACAAAGCTACTCCTGGCTCATCCATATTGTTTAGCTGTTTTTTTTTTGTTTGTTTGTTTGTTTTGTTTTGGAGACAGAGTCCTCCTCTGTGGCCCTGGCTAGAGTGCACAAGCACCATCTCAGCTCACTGCAACCTTCACCTCCTGGGTTCAAGTGATTCTCGTGCTTCAGCCTCCTAAGTAGCTGGGATTACAGGTGTTACACCACCACACCCAGCTAATTTTTGCATTTTTAGTAGAGACGGGGTTTCACCATGTTAGCCAGACTGGTCTCGAACTCCTGGCCTCAAGTAATTCACCCGCCTCAGCCTCCCAAAGTGTACCTTTTTTTCTTTTTGTCTCATAGTTTAAAAACACTGCTGTAGTATTCTTAATGAAACTTGATTTCAAGTTTCATTGAAAATGTGTTGTTTTAAGCCAATAGTGAATCAAGAGTAACCAGGAGTTCTTAGATAACTTGAAGGGCCACAGGGGTTTACGATGGGCCGTATGTCTGAGATCCAGACACAGTGAGAAGCTCTAATGTCAGCAGACCTCACATACTCTGGTAGTTTCTGCCACCAGCCAGTTGTGTGACCTCTGCAAAATACTCACTAAGCTTCCTTTTCTTTGTCATAAGGGAATCATAAGGGAATAATAACGCCACATTCCTAACAGTGTGGTTGGGTGGATGCACAATTGCTTTGCAAACTGACATACAAGTTTTTATGCTCTGGTAGGCTTTGCGGTACTGCTGCAGCCCATTGAAATCTGAGTAAGTACTCACACTACACTTCTACGTGGAGGATAAATCACTAGGAGAAGGCAGAAGTGCTCTAGGTTCATAAGGCCATGTGGCATGGCTGAAGAGTCTAGTCCAGGCCATGTAATGACTTTCTTTTTGACTATGACATGTATGATGTCACCTCTCCTCTCTGGGCTCCGGTTGTCCTGTCTGTAAACATGCAGGAGCGGGAGTTAAAGTCAATGTTCTCTGATGTCCCTGTCAGCCCTGTTACTCAACATTAAACTCTGTTAATGCCTTCCCCAAGCCTTGAGTCACATCATCTAAGAACAACCACTCAGTGAGACTCTAACATGATTTCCCTCCGGCCTGAATGATTTATTTGGGATTATGCTGTATACCCTGTCATGGCTGAAATAAAGGCACGTATTTAATTCTGCTTCCATCAGATTGAGTCATTTGGATTACAGCTTCTTATAAATGACTGTGAGCTTCTTGAGGGAGACAGACTGGGCCATGTTCCTGGTCTTCATGTCTCCTTGGAAAGGAGCACAGTGCCTTATAGATAGCAGGAGCCTGACAAAGGTGTGCTTGACTGAACTGAAAGAAGCCCACTTCAAATATGGCTTACTCACGTGTCCTTTCTTCCTCTCCCTCCACTAAAACTGTCCCCATTTGGCCAAGGCACAGAACGATAAAGAGGCCACTTGGGGACATTTTACCCTCTATGGATGTTTCATCTATACCACCCTGCAAAGCAGAGGCCTACGCATCTTCCCCTTGGCTCCCGCAATAGGTGGACAGCCCACTGAACTGAGAAGGCCCTGAGGTAAGACGTTTCCTCATTTCACAGTTGAGAACCCAAGGTAAAGGACCCTCAACAATCTGGCCTTCCCAGCTGGTTTTATTTCTAATCATGATGACCCATGGGATATCTTCCTGGCTGGACTGAAAGTCTCATGGGACAGAAACCACATCACAGTTCCCAGTAGGGCACCCAGGCATCTGGTATCAGTTGAATAAGTAGATGCTCCTTTATCCTGGCAATTATCCCACTGCATTGCCATTACTTGCTGTTTCTCTCTGCCTCTGTGTTGTGACCTTCACAAGGGTAGGGACTGCATCTTATTTATCTCCGATGCCCTAATACCCAGGACAGTGCCTGATGCAGTGTAGACACTTGGTTAACGTTTGTTGAGTGAGTGAATAAAGTATGTGCAAGCTCATTTCAGCCCGTAGCATGCTCCAAAAATGCAAGGGGCATATTCTCCCACATTTGGGAATTTTCTGATTGACCTTTTCCACCTTCTGCTGGCACATCTCTCAGAATAGCTGGAGGAGGCTCTATTCCCCTGGGGTCTGGATCAGCCCCATTTCCTATGACAAGAACGTCTCTCTTCCCCCAGAGCTGTGGGATCTGAGCTACGGTATGCCCATGCCCCATGTTAACACTGGCGAGTTCTAGTGCTAGGAGGGCTGGCTCTGAAGAATGGCACACAGAGGATACACTTGAATTGTATTTCATGGGAGATAATCAATGAGTCCTATTCTATAATCTATACTTTTACGCATACTAGGAGGGAGAATGGTGTGCCCTCTCCCCATATTTCCTAAAGACATGTAGTTATTTTGCTGCCTAGATGTTTAACAGCTGTTTTAAGGCTTTGGCCAAGACTTTTGACTTGTGAGAAGGGAATGGTGGCTCCTCTCCTCCCCTTTTCTTCTATTACATGAATGTTATTATTAGTCATTACAATTGTGCCTACACAGGCAAAGTGAAGGTGAATGCTGAGGAAATCATGCAGATAATGTAGGCTGACATCTCTTTCCTATGAAGAACAACTATAAATACACTTTACCTTGCCTGAAGACAGGGGTGCTTGGTGCCCTTCCCTGCTTTGTCCTGCCTTGGCCCATGATGATATCTCTAAATAGAAAGCCCTTTCCTTTCTAGGGAACAGCTACCCATCCAAGTATCACCTTCTTGATGAACATTTTCCTACTCCCACAACAACCAATATATAATGCTACAACAGCACTTACCACAGTTTATTAGCACTTAACTTTGGGTCTTTCTCCCTCATTTGAGTTGCTGATATACAGGGACGGGACTTCCTTATCTCTATGCCTGGCATAGGGCCCAATTCTAAAATAAGAACTCTGCATATTTAAGAAGCACAAAAATTAATGAACTCCACAAGTTTCAGATTGATTAAGGGATGTTTTAACCTTGCAAGATCACAGGAGAACACAGACCTTCTGTTTCTGCCTAGCTACTGTGGCCAACCCCACAGGCTCCTTGTTGACAATTGTTCCACGGGCACCAGGCCTGGATGCCATCAGGCCCAATTACCTCCTGGATTTAGGCAGCAGTCAGAAGGGCTGAGAGCTGGCTGGCTCAAAGACCAGTGCTCTGAAACAGCCCTTTCTAGGCCACTGAAACCCACTCAAGATAAAAAAATCGCATAAATCACAATATCACACACTTGGCCTTTTAATTCTTATGGTGCTTCGGGGTTTGAGAATCCCTCTAAGTGGAAGATTCCCAAAGGTTAGGATGCTGAGTTTCTGACCTATTGATTTTCTACCCTGTGCAACGAATTAGAAAGTCCTTTAGTATAAATATAAGGGAGTCATACAGACTTGTCTGGACTAAGCCAACTGGTAGGCCATTATTAGGAAGAAAGGGTTAAGTGTTTTGATTTTTTATTCATATCTTCAACTTTCTATTCTCCTAATAACCACCTGCGAGTGGAAGAATCAGCAATGATTGATATATCTTCCAAGTGGGAAAGTAGAACACATTTGGTTTTCTTTATCCAAGTTAATGCAACAGAAAAATGAAGGTTAATTCTATGACTAAGCTAAGGACTGAAATGGTACTCATGAGCCAGCTGCCCCATTTTACACATGGGGAGAGTGAAGCCCAGGGCCACCGAGTAGCCCATGTAAGGATGCACAGGGAGTCGAAGCCAGAGCTGGAATTCAGGTCTTCACCCTCAGCTAATGAATGTTCTATAAGACGAGCGCCTCTTTCCTTGGGCTTTGACTGTCTAGCACTTTTTAAAAACCCAAAGTAAAAGCCATTTCTATTACAAAAGGTATCTGCTGGAGTGAGTGAGGATATCCCTCCCAAATTAGAGGAGAAGAGACCTTGACCAAAGATAACTCAACCTCAATCCCTTGGAGAAGCGTCCCTCTGCAGCTTCTGTGATGAAGAATTAGATGGTCTCTGTTTATCCACCTCCAGTGAGGGAGACCCATAACTCTGCCAGACATCTCATTCTACTGTTGAATTGTTAGACGCCTCTTTCTTCCATATGCCTTCTCCTCTATACTGGCTGCTGCATAACAATTACTTTCATTTACATTAGTTAATTTTAATGGATTCAAAGGGAACACCTGTGATACGCACTCATCCCTAAGTCACATGTGCAGTTTTTTGCTCGTGCCACAGGTTCCCCAGACTGGACAACTGGTGTGTTGGTGGCCTGTTAGCTCAGTAATACCTATTCTCCACTCTGGGCCTCCTGCCCTCTGGAGCTGCCTGGGGCCCATGGGTGCCGGAGCCCTACCTCCATCGTTGTCTTTGCTGTCACCGCAGGCGGTCTCCATGGAAGTGTCACAGCCGGCTCCTCTCCAGCCCAGCTGGCAGACGCAGTGCCAACCATTCAGGTCTAAGGTACATCTGCCATTGCCATTGCACAACCCAGGGCAACCCTCTGCAAGACAAAGTACAGAGTCGAGGTCTGATCACCCAGAGTCAACTACCATCACACACACTCACACACTACCTGCCAACTTGCAAAATGCCTTCATATCCATCAGCACACGAATGCCCACAGCAGCCCAGGGAGGCAGGTATCATTGGGAATTGCCACTTGACAGAGAAGGCAACTGAGGCTCAGAGAGGTGAAAGGACTTGCCAAGGTCGCACAGTCAGAAGTGGCAGGGACAGGGCTGAAACCTGCTGCATCTAAAAGCTCCTCTTTCAAAAGTGACAGGGATTCTGGAGCTAGAGTCAGTAGAGGTCGGCCTGTCAGAAACTATCCAATGAAGCTTTCTGCCTGATCCATGCTTCTTGTTCTTTCTTGCGTGTTCCTCTGATCTTTGGCAGCTGTTTAGCACAAAGGAAACATCTTTCTGTCTATTCCTCGCTTTCCTCAGCACTTCTGGGTATCATTCTAAAGGGTGTTACTTTTTCCAACTCTTGTAGTAGGTCAGTGTTATTGGACCCTAGGCTTTTCATTTATTCTGTCCTATTTTCTCCTAAACAACTGTCTTTGCTTTGAAGAAGAGGGCTTGGGGCTTTTTCTTACCATAATGTCTATAGCTACACTTAGAAAAGGGCTCTGCACTCAGAGGAGCTGCGATCACCATTGTGAAAGACTAACTAGGGCTGCCTGTGAGTGCAACGGAGGTACAGCCAGGCTGCTCTGCTCTCATTATACTCATATGCACACATCTATCTGCCTGTCTGTCATTTATGAAGCACCTTCTCTGGGCTAGCACTGGAGGTACAGAAATGAGTTAGACCTATTCTCATTCATGAGGAGCATGAAGCCTATCAAAGGAGACAAATTTATATAGGCAAAAAAATTCACTGCTAAATGCCCTAAAGCAGATGTACAAAATATGGTGGGAACTTAACACAGGTGTGGCCATCTGAGATGGCTGTAGATGATTTGATCAAGAAGGGTCAGGCAGTATTTTGTGTTGGTTCTCCTTGGACCATATTATAAAGTGTGGAGTTTAAAAAAATGCTATTAAAGTAGATTTGCAGGCTTTTTGATTGCTACATCATTGAACCTCCCTGAGTTTGTGGCTCAGAAATCTATGTTTGAGAATATGTTAAGTTACAGGGTTCACTTCAGCTTCTATTGTGCTACTTGGTTTTCACTCAAGTCCTTATATTAACAATCCTGCCAAACCCCTTCTCCAAGGGGCTATCAAAAACCACCTGTCACTGGCATACCTTCCATCTCCTCTCTGCCCCTGCTCAGCCATGGGAGAGGTATGGATGTGAAAGCACTGTGTCAGCTATAAAGCATAATTTGTTTTATCATTATGAGCAGAAAAGTACTCCAAATATGGCTACAAACTGAATCTTCTGCCACGAAGTAATGGGAAATTGACTCATTATTCTTAAATGGGCCAACAAATGTGAAAGTCGTTGTCCAGTACAAGACCTGGCCCAAGAAACCACTCATTTAGTAAAATGGCTGATCAGAACCTAAAACCCGAGTGGTTCAAGGACTTTTGATAGTTGACTGTTACTCAAAAGTAAAAGAAAAGAACATGTTTATTTCCACTCGAGATGTTCAACAAAGCAACCAATCAATCTGGCCACTGTGTTTTCCATTCAAAGGAAGAAACATGTATCAATTGTATACTCCAGCCTAGGAGCAATTCCTTGAAATTTAGAAGTACATGTAGACTATGGGTTTCTGTACAGCAGGAGCCTGCTGGGAAAAATGGGAGGCAACCAGCACGGCCACTCCAAAAAGTGACTGAGAAAGAAGTTGTAAAAGTGAGCCTCAGGAGCAGAGCCATGACACACAGGTAGCTGTCCAGGCAGTCTGACTTGGTTGTCAACATCAGCCACCTCTAGTGATCTAAGCAATCACAGCTTTCTGTTTTCTTCAATTCGTCTCATGTCAAATTTTGTCCGTCCAGCTGGGACTTGTTTTCAATTAAGTTTGTATTTGGAATTAGTCATGGAGGAAGTAGGGTCTGATCTTGAAGAATGATAGCTGACTGCTTCCTTTTGCTGTAAGATATAGCCTCTTATAAGATGCAAAGAGTATCTCTTGTGTAAGAGCACAAACTTGAGAGGCATATCAAAGTTTGGCTGTACCATTCAGTGGCTGTATGACTTAGGCATGTTACTGAATTTCTTTGAGCCTCAGTCTCTTTACTTATAAAATGGGGTTGTTGGGAGGTTAAATAAGATAAGGTATGCATGATGCAGAAAGCCTGGCATACAGCTCAAACACAGTATCTGAATCTTCTACTCACCTTTACCTTCTCTCTATTTTGGGCAGAGGGCATATAATATCATGTGCTGTACCCATAGCCTCAGGTGGGGCTCACAGAAAGGCAAAATAGGAAACTGAGGCAGTTATCTAGATCAGAGTCAGCAAACTTGTTCTGTAAAGACCCAGAGAATAAATAGTTTAGGCTTGTGAGCCATATGGTCTCTTGCAATTACTCAACTCTGCCATTACAGCTTGAAAGCAGCCATACATAATTTTAAATGAATAAGCATGGCTGTGCTCCAACTAACTTGATTTACAAAAATAGGTGATAGGCCCGATTTGGTCTTTGGGGTGTAATTTGCCAACCTCTGGTTTTAGATGCTTCAGGACAGTGAGACAATGACAGCTGCCACATACTAAGGGTTTACTAGGGCTGGCCACTGTGCTAGGCATTTTACATAAATTTCTAAAATAAGTAACTTTTTGTTAAAAATGTTCAGATATGGATTTTCTAGAGCAGATCCAATTTCACACCATTTAATCCTAAATTTTTAATAAAAGCCATGTGTTATAATAGAGTGAGGACGTTGGAGTTGGACAAACCTCAGTTCAAATCCTAGCACCATCATTTTACTTACTATCTGTGTTAAAATTGGCAAATTATTTAACTCTAAGCTTCAGTTTTCCCATCTGTAAAATGGAGATAATACCTGATTCAAAGAGTATTTGAGAATATTAAATGAGATAAGATATACCAATTATTTATCACAGTGGGTAACATAAATAGGCATTCAATAAATGAGAGGTGTAAATCACATTGGATTTACTTAAGTTTGTATAATTTCACTAAGAAATTCATAAACAAGAAAATAACCCTTTGCCATTCCAAGTTGTATAATATTTATGTCAAAAGCTATGGTTCTCATAAATAATTTCTTCCCAAAGACAGCCAAGACAAACACTGGGCTTGTCTCATGGCGCCATGAACATGCAGTGTGGTGGGAGGTGGCATGATGGGTTCAGGATCGTGAGTCCCAATACAGGCCACCATTCATGCTTTCCTAGCATACTGTACCTCTCTCAATAGCAGCTGTCCTAAGGATACTTAAATGATCAATTCTGCGATTAGTTTCATTGTCTTACTTCTTCCGTTAGAATGTACCAGTGCCTGCACCTAGCAGATACTCAATATGTATTTGTTAAAATGAATTAACAAATGAGACAAGAAACCTGGGTTCTGTCCTGACTAATCTGAGGGGAGTTGGGAAAGTTACTTTCTCTCTTTGGGCCTCAGTTTCCCCATTTATAAAATAAGGATATGGATGAGATGATCTATTAGGTCCTTCTGGCATAACCAACCCAATAGAGTAGGTCGAAACAACTTCAAGTTAGTTGATTCTGTTCTTAAATTCAACAAACTTTACTCAGTACCTGGTGGATGCTGGACTCTGTGTTAGTTTTGGGGTACACAGAGACAAGATATATCATCTGCCCTAACAAATTGTACATTCTTTTTATTTATACCATACTTTGTTCTAGGAAGGGTTGAAAATAGGTCTTATAATCACAAACCACACTCCTCAAAGGGAACCTTGGGAAACAGTAGTTCTGCGAGGTCCCCAACAACAAGCTTCTGCAGTCAAATAAGTTTGGGAAACACTGCATCCTGTACTCTTATATTCACACTGAGTATCAACATATTGAAGACTCCAAGAAGTCATAGAATGAAGAAAGCTGCTTATTTGATTACTAGAGCATTTTACAGTTTGACCTCAGAACTCTCTCCCCCCACCCCGCTACTAACCTGTGTAATATTCCATTCCATGGAACCCTCTCTGGGAAGCCCTGCTCTAGTGAACTCCTGTGGGCACATGGCATCTTGGGCACATAATCCGTGCTGCTCTGAGGCTGCCTGAAAAGATCATCACCAGATCTTTAGTGGGATTAGGTCAATGAATCATTGAGGTGCCAGTTTGGAAGATGTGGAGCAGGAAGAGTTTGGAAGATGTTTTCAGGGAGGGTTAGCTCTAGATGTGAAATCACAGAGAATCACAAATGTGAAAATCCACAGTCAATTTCTTCAAATGAACCAAGTGATACCCTGAAGATCTGCATTATCCTATAAGTTTCAGATGGACTTTGAGTACCTGTGGGTGGAACAAGATTTGCTTTCATCCAGCCATTTGCTTCCAGGGTCATCACACCCCCATTAGCCAGCATGAGGAAGCCTCCTCCAGGATGACTTGTTGACTTTCTTAAAGTAATGTGCCCATCCTTACCCACTGCTGAGGCTGATTAATTCCACAAACCCCAAAACTTATCAATAATTCGGAGAGCCCACCTGACAGTAATAATCCCTTCCGGAAGGACTCATACCAGGCATTTGCTAGAGTCAAAATAATGTAATTTTAAAGTTTAGAGAAGGGATAACAAAGCTTTTCAAAAGAAATAATGCCCTTTAAATGACAAGGGGCCACTTTATCTTCAATCTCCTGCTAAGGCCTATGAAGAAGCCCTCCTTGCAGCTAGCAACAGGTATGATTAGAAGACTTTCAGAATCCTTGAAGGTCTGCAATATGCCTATAATATATCAAATGGCCCACTTATTTATGTTCCTCTTATCAGTCCTTTGAACTTTTTTTCTCTATATTCACTTCCCTAGACAAAGCCATCATCATCTCTTATCCAGATGACAGCAATAGTCTGCTAATCAGTCTTCTTGTTCTCAATAGTCCCTCCTCCATTCTCCTTTCACAGTAGGGCCAGACTGATTTTCCAAATCACAAACGTGATCTAGTTATGATCTTGCTTTTAAAAACCTTCGGAGCCTTTCTCATACCTTATGTTAAATCCAACAATCTACAAGGCCCCAACAATCTAAGTTGGTGGGGTGGCTACTTTCTAAATGGTGGCCTTTGGACTTCCCTGTCATAACCCTCATCATACTTTGTTGGAATTATTTATTTTAGTGTCTTCTCTGCTAGACTGCAGGCACCTTGAGAGCAGGGACCACGTCTGTTGTGTGGTATTCATATTTCCTAGCACTAAGGAGTTCAGCATATTTGTTGAGTAAATGTTGTTTCTTTAGTCTCTACCAAAGCAACTGGGAAGCAATGAAAAAAATATGGCCCATCTCTGAACAGTCAAGTACTCTACTCTGACAAGACCTGAGCTTCCATTAGACAGATCTCTGAATTCGTTTTTTCAGAAATTAGTATCCACCATACCAAAATATCAATCAGATGAGGGCTTGGGTCAGACCTAGATTTTGACAAGAAACATTTGCCTTTTAAAGCAAGTTATGATTCATTGACCTAATCGAACTAAAGTTCTGGTGATGATATTTTCTGAACTAAAGATCAGAACAGGTGATTTGGGAAAGAATATGGGCCACTTCTCAGTGAGGGTGCCAGTTTGGAAGATGTGGTGTGGAGGAAAATGTATTGGGAATTACGGACATTCTCAGTGACTTATGGCAACAGAAGAGAGAATGTTGGAGATATGGATAAAGCCAGGAAATGTAGCATCTTGGCTCTGCTGCTTATTAGAATTGTGACCCAGGATGACCCACTCAATTTCCTCAACTACAGTTTACTCTTTCAATCAAATGCGTATCATTATATCTGTTCCCCTAAAAAAAAAAAATCACACAACTCACTTCAGACTCAAGGATGTGAAAAACTTCACATAGTAGAAAAACTTTCCATCAAATAGATGGTAACATGATAAAAGTTAGCCCACCCTGAAGAGTCCTCTGCTAATGATAATGTTTGAAATGCCTGTTTTAAAGAGGCTCGGAGGTACTACTCTTTCTTGCTGGAATGATTTTATTCTCAATTGAGGACCAGTACATGAAATATGAAGACCCTCGCTCCTCCTCCATCTGCTGGGTTCTATGCAACACCTTTGCTGTACTTGGCAGAGCCGTCCCAGCTGAAAAGCATTTAGTCAGTTATGTTACCCCAAAATCCTTTCCATAAATTTTAAAACAGCTGTTGCTACCTCTTATTAAATGCCAATTTAGCCTTTTCCTTTACAGTTTCAAAAATTCATCTAGCTAATGAAGTCCTTCTTCAAATTAAGGGTGAGAACAAGAATATGATGATAAAACAGCCTAATGCATACTTATTGAGCATCGCTCCTGCCCATATACTGAGCTGTTGGTATTTGTTATTTCACTTAATCCTCATGCTAGCCCTATGAGGTGGGTCCTGTTAGCAAGAGAAGAGAAGTTAAATCCTTCGTGTGTTGAAGCTGGGATTCAAACCCAGGCGGTCTGACTCCAGAGTAGGTCCCTATCTGCTGAGCACATTTTTTGTACCAGGTGCTGTGTTAGGGCCTGAGAATAAAAAGATGAATAGGACATGGTATTTCTCCTCAAGGAGCTTAGAGTCTTTTAAAAGCACACATATCTGATTATTCTGAGATTTATTCTTAGAGCAATGTGGTCTATTTGGAAAATTAGGTACCACCTAATTAATGTAAATGTTGAAAAAGGAAGGAATTACTTTGCCTTTAGGGAATACTCTTCAAAGATAAAACTTACCAAAGTCAGGCCTTCTCTGAAAAGGAAAAGAAACAAACAAACAAAACAAACAGACCATCTGCTCCCTGAGGTCAGGGGTCTGTCTGTCCCCTCGTCCCCAGACCCTGGCACGGGTACCTAGTACACAGTGGGTGCTCCACAGATGCCTGTTGGATGAATAAACACAGTAGAACTAAAAAGTGGTCCTGAAAATTTTTTGCTCTTGGGTCCTCTCAGGCCACCCACCCTGGTTGCCAGCATCTTAATTCTGGTGGACCAGGGGCCATAACAGATGGGCAGGGTGACATGAGATGGGGTGGAAAGAGTGAAAGGTTTATGTATGTGGGGCAGGGGGAGGGAAAAACAAAAGTACAATGGTGTTGTCAGAAACAGATCTGAGCATCTTTCGGGGAGAACAACACTCAAGGTATATCAACCACCTATTGACTGAAAACCTATGTCCTTTGGGTAATGGATGCTGTGACAAAACTGGGGATGTGGTAGCATCTAGACATCATGCTTATGGGGTGTATATATATTTTTATATACACATTTCTTCTTTTATACTCATACACAATCACACACACACAAAGACAACAGGAAAATAGAGGAAGGAAGACCATACCTTTAACTACCCTATCCAGATAGTGAGCTAGGGAGATAAAAGACAGGACATTTAAGGTAGGATCGAGTAAGTGCAATACCGCCTGCCACATAACCATGCCAGATGCTAAAGAGACAAAAGGATTGTGCCCCACGTTTGGGACTGGCCTATGCCATGGTGGGGAAAATAAAACCAAAGACAGGACGACAAGAGAGAGGAGGAGGGAGAGCAAGCATTCTCCAGGAATGGCCAAAAGGAACTTCAACTCATTCTGTGATCTAGGCATTTGGAAATGTGATCACAGAAACAAGAAGACATATAAATAAGGAAAACAGGCAAAGGAGGATGGGAAGCTGCAAAAGTGGCCACACTCGTGCTCTGCCAGCTTTGCCTGGCTTTACAGAAAACCAGAGCCTGTCTCTTTGACTACTCAGAGCAGCATCCACCCTCCCTACAGGTGAAGCAGCCATACCAAGAACAAGTGGTACCCCATCTGGGCATTTCCAAGAAGTTGGAATTTAGAAATATGCAAAATTTGAATCATCTCTGATATGCACTAGCGAAGGAGGTTGAATCTTTGGTCAGATATACTGCTATATTGTCTGCTTGCCATTCTTGAATTTTCCACGTACACGTGCCTACACATGCTTGAATGCTGAATGCTTAGTGTTCTAAGTTAGATGCATCCCTCCTTTGTGCATCTTACACAGACTATGAGGTGCAGGTCAATGGATGTCACCGTAAAAAACAGGACAAAGAAAAGAAAACCTGACCACTTTTCAGTGCTTATTAACTCTGAAGACAGAATGATGTGTGCTTTGTTTTCCAATGGAGGGGTTGTGTCCAAGCCTTGAATTATTTGGCCTTCTAAAGTTTTGCTTATTTGAGGATGGGTATCAAAGGTTGCTCCGAAGTAAACCCCACTGTGCATATATATGGGTGTCTGGCTGTGTGTTTAGAGCAGGGCAGGCCTCTTAAACCCTGGCATAAACCACTAATACTATTTCACCTGCCCTACCTAGGCTGCAGAGATAGCGCTTCGAGGAGCTTCTCTTTCCCATCTCTCCACACCTGCCCCTAGTGTGTTCTGCAAAGGCTATGTAGCTGGGCAGTCTCCTGAAGAATATGATGCCTTCAGCCAGGCTGCACTCCAGCTTCAGCTCAATTTCACCATATGAATCAAAAATCCATCAGATAGGACTGGACTGCAACGGTGCGGCCTTATCAGGAATCCCTAGGGCTCTTGAAACATTTTTACTCTCTTCAGAAAAAAAATATAAATTATATTTTTTCATTTCTCTGGATAGAACAGACATTGTTGTTCATCAGTATATATTAGTCTCAAAGACTAGTGGATGAGAGGCTGTGTTCTCAGTTCAGGTATCCATGTGGTCTCTGGTTCAAGATGAAATATGCTTCTGGAGGCTGCACAGCCAAGTGGAAAATTGGGAAGAGGAAATTTTAACTGAGGCCACATACTTTTCTTAATTCTTATAGATGTTGTGGAGTCCATGAGATGCAGAATATAATATGGGAACATGAAAGAGAGTGCTTACTAAGCAGGGGTGAGTAAACAAAGCTATGGAATGCCAAGCAGTGAAAAACGGGGACAGCTCACACGAAAAATGGCCTAGGAAATATCTCTGGCTAAAGGGAAAGCTTTCTGGATTCTTGGTCCATTGTCACTTTAATCTTATTCAAGCTAATTCGTCTAATTTTGCAAAGTGGCCTAAAATTTCTTATTATCTCATCTCCCAGGATATGCTATCAAAGAGTAAGAATACATAGAATTACCCAGCTCTAGTGGTTTTCTTAGCTTTCATAGCTGCAGAATTTTTTGGAGGGTCCTAATAATATGTTCTTGTAATAACTCTGTATCCAGTTACAGAAGAGGTGGAATGACCCTACATTTCTTTCCCAAGGATGGCTAGGCTGGATGAGACTCCATCACTGGGATCCAAGTGGTCATATCACTATACAGCATCCACTTTGAGGGAGTTCTCTGACGAAAAAAACTTTGTTTCCAAACTTAATGGTGGTATCATGGTTCTGGTAGTGAGTGAAGATTATATCTATTCTAAAGGGTAATCTCTCCAGGGCCAGTGTCTGACTTAAGAGAGCTCCCTCTCTTCTAAAGCCATTTCAGTTTCAAGAACCATGTAATCATGAAGAGCTCTACTCAGTGAAAATATGTTTTGGATACCTTTACAAATTCTTACTAATTTCTCCAGACCATAGGTAGGAAAAGAAGTCACTGGAAATGGTTACCATCAGCATTGCGAGTTTTCAGGAGACAAGAGTAGACATTCAAAACTTCAAATCCTGACTCCACAAATCAAAAGGGATTCCTTTGCTACAAAGAGCAAAGGAAACTTTGAATCACAAACCACACTGTGAATCCAAAAGCTGCTAACAGCTAGTCAATACCAAGCCCGTGAGTTTTCCAGGAACGGAATGGACCTGCCTTGTCTTTGGCTATTAAAAATGGGAGTGACAACTGAGTCTTTGAACTTTAGTGCCATGTATTTATAAAAGTCCATACTGTACGCTGCTTTTACTGTTTGAAATCCTTGGCACATATGCTCTTGGGTACAACTGTTTAAAAATTCATGATTTTAAAGCACCAACTTTTAGAAAAGATGATGCAGAGTCTGCATTATGGAAGGTGGATTCAGGACTTCATCGATTCCTGCATCTTTCTCTTCAGAACTTCAGGATGAAGACGACGGCAGTAGTCATCTTTCCTCTTGCGCCACACTTCTTTCTTTGGCATTGGACAAACGTTTCTCATGTTCCTACTATGTTCTTATCTCCATGTGAAGAGTTGGAGATAGTAGTGACACTATAGCTATTTATGCCACAGACTGAGCTTTTGGCATGAGGTTGGTCTGTGCAGTCTCAGGTTTCTTTGGCATTTCTCTGATCACCAACATAAGAACTTCTTTCCTTGACTTGCTTCTACCAACAGAGGTTTCCAGAGGTTTCTCTTGGGATAATCTTAAGGATCTTCAGGGGCCCCCTATCCAAAGTTATGGAAAACATGGCAAGAGGCTTTCCATTCTTATTCTCCAGGAGACTCAGGGAAACTCTAACAGCTGAATCACTGGTACAGGTTAGGCCACAGGAAACAAGAATCACTACAGCAGAGAATGGGTTGGTGGTTCTAGTCATCCAAGCTTCTTTCAGATGGATGACACACCACCAAAGAGATGTTCTTGCTAAGCTCTTGGATTCATTAGTGCTCTTCTCTCTTTGGATAACTGGTCAGTGACACCCACACTAAGAGAAATTCACAAAGTCAGGTTCCCACCCTTACCACATGTGGGCTGAAGTCTCCCAGAATCATCAGCAAATCAAACTCATGCTCTGATCACTTGAGGTAGATCCCTGTAAATTTTCTCTTTCTCCTTGTCAGAATCTGTCCTGTCAAGCCGTAGGTCCTGTTGTGAATGAATGCTTTCCAGTGGGATAACCATAGTGTTATCACAGGTGCTGATACCTCATGAGTGATTCGTGGGCTCTTGGTTAAGGATTTGCTGATTATGAAAAAGAAATCTGAGAGCTATCATTCAAATGCAGACAAAGGGCCAGGTATGGTGGCACATGCCTGTAATATCAGCACTTTGGGAGGCCAAAGCTGATGGATCACTTGAGGTCCAGAGTTCAAGACCAGCCTGGCCAACATGGCAAAACGCTGTCTCTACTAAAAATATCAAAATTAGCTGGGTGTGGTGGTGCACACCTGTAGTCTCAGCTACTCGGGAAGCTGAGGCAGGAGAATTGCTTGAACCCGGGAGGTGGAGGTTACAGTGAGCTGAGATCATGCCACTGTACTCTAGCTTGGGCAACAGAGCGAGACTCTGTCTTAAAACAAAAGAAAGTAAAACAAACAAACAAACAAAAAAATAACCAACCAAAAGTGGACAGGGCACTCCGGAAGATTTTGTGGCTGTTATTCACAATTTCTCTTCATTGGAAAGTCTGGTTTTGCTCACTCAAGTCATTGTATCTTCAGGGTATTATTTTAATCTTTACCCCCAGAGGAAACTTTTGTTTAAAAATCATGATTTCTAGAATTGGACAGCTCTCCTGAAGCCTGGTAAATAACTCTGTATATTTGGTACCTTGAATAATCACAGCTTTGGAGTCAAGACTGGAATTTTATTAATGTCATCAGAAGCTGGCATTTGCTACAGGTGTTTTCAAACTTTAGAGACAAGGGGCACTGAGGTGAATAGAAAAACCATGTAGAACTGATCCAAAATGTTAGCATAATTTCAAAGAAATTGGAAAAAAATTTCCGATTAAATTTAACAACAATTTTCAGCTTTCTCACAGGAAATCAGAGGTCACGCCCCAGACTTATGGGATCCATAAAATCCTTTGAAAAGACAACCAAAAATATGCGTTGGGTGACTCTCTGTCAATCATATACTTGAGAAACAGATCCAAATCAAACCATCTTACCTTAACTCTGGACTAGGAAAACTGGGTTTCACATATGTAAGTGCCATATAAGTTAGAGTAAAAATGAAGAATCCCTTTTTCTTCATGAGATATTTTTAGGAGCAGGTGACTCAGTTTTGGGTTGATGGGTGTGTAGTTCTGTGGGCAGTGGAGGAAGGGGTTGGAATTCTGTCACCCTTGGGGATCTCTTCCAGCCACCCCATTCTGTGATTCACGGATAGAGAAACTGAAGCCTCAGGCAACTACGTGGTCTGGCCCTGGTGCTTTTACCAAAGACCCTTCTTCAAGATGCAAAGAGACAGGTGATTCCTAAAATAATTAGGATTGAATGTGAAATATTTTTTGCTGTTTGACAAAAATACTGTCATTGAAGAGGATGCCACTGTCAAATTCCCTTTTATTCTGAAAACCAACCTCTTGAGAAGAATCAAGTAGCTTCCATGAAAGATAAGGTGAGCCAAAGGCTCTAAAAGATGATATTAAAAAAAAAAAAAAAAGAAGAAGATAGTTAATTCCTACTATACTCATCTGCTCTGGGAAATGTCGTTGGGGTAAAAAGGTTCTTAATGCTGGGGACTTGGCCATTAGAGGCCCAGATTTGTGTTGGTCTTTAAATTCTGTATTCCTGGTATATGGTAATCAAGCCATTCCTTCCTGTTTATGCAGGGTGGCAGTATGTAAATAAACAGGCCCAACTCTTTTTTTGCTTCCACTGCCTAGAGGTCTCTAAATCAGTGTCATGGACACCAGCTCTCTCTCTGCTGTGGGAAGTAACTATTGCAGCTAGAAGCTAGCTGCACGATAATGACCTTTTGTATAACAATGAAATCTGATAACAAGAGAAAATTTAACACTTTGAATTTCTAACTTTTCACATCAGCAGTTTTTTCGTTTCCTAAATCACCCTCACAGGGAGTAAAGTTCTCTGGAAACAAGGAAATGCTTCTTGTTACCATCAAAGACTAAAAATGAATTTTTCCTTCTCATTTCTATTTCAACAAGAAAAGGATGGCACCATTGTTTCTCTACTTTGCCTCCCCTCCCCCTTTCCTTATATCCCACAGGGTTATTGAAGTGTTCCTTCAGCACAACGGTATTGAGTTTCTAGTGGGGACGCAGCTGGCCACAGGCAAAGACCCACAGAGAAGGTTACCATGCAGGAAAATTAGACAAGGACAAAGAAAATGCTCACCACACAATGAGAGGTAGTAATAGAATTCCCAGCCAAAGTCCTTTCAACTGAGCACTATGACTAGTCCGTTGCTTCTTCAATGTCCTATGACATTTCTTTGGTATTTAGGACTGTCAACCTTCTTCTTATATTTTGCATATTTGCCTTGATGTATTTCTTATCTGGAGAGGAAAAGGCATCTGCAAACCCAAGGTGGTGTTTGTTCTTGAAGAGTGACACAGAGTATACAGGGGAGGTAGAAGAGGATGATTGGACTTCTTGGCATCAAAATAAAAGGGACATTATTAAAGCCAAGCTGATGAATATCCAGAAAACACTACAAATAAAACAGCCTGCCCACAAGCCCTGACATGAATCATTTGTGATTAGGGAGAGTTTCCCTAGAATGAGATGCGTTTATCTTACAACATTTTTGTCCAACATTTGCAAATGTTTTGGAGTTTGGTAAGATGAGCTGGGAACTCTGTAAGCAAGTGACAGCAAACAGAATGGGCCCTCTCTGGGCTCTGCTTTTTTTTTTTTTTTTTTTTAGAGGTATGGGCTTTCTTCTGCACATGGGCTTTCTTCTGGGCTGGGAGGCTAAAAGTTTGGTTCATCCTCAGTCATGTAGAAAAGGGAACGTGAGGGGAAAGCAGAGTTTAAAGAGGCTCCTTGGATAACCAGGGCCACTTCTCACTAAGGGGTTTCCAGGACAATTTTAAGGAAGGATGACACTGTCAAGTAGCACACAGTAAGATGACGCAGCACAACCTGCAGAGGCTGACAGTGGCTGCCATTGCTACGGAGTGGCTCTGTTGAGGGTGAGGGCTGAGTGCAACCTCAATGACAGGGCACAGCCTCCAGGAGGGACGGGAGCAGGTGCCTCAGTAGAAAAACTGGGCTTTGCCATGCAATGGCTACAGAGCAAGCAGCTGGTAAGGAAAAATCAAGTGTCAAATCCCTGTTCTACCTCTTTAAGTTCCGTGACCTTAAGCCTCAGGTCCTTGAAAATGAGGAAATAATACATACTGCTTCACAGGGTGATTGTAAGGAGTATAAAATAATGCAGTTAAAGTTCTTAGCACAGCTCTAGGCAAGTTGTAAATACTTAAAAATCAGAAGCCATTATTATTATTACTAATATTAATAAATGTAAGGAGTTCCATGGCCAATTATAAACTCGGGATGTTGCAGGGGCAGGGACCAAGGATATAAACTAACTTTAGGCTACAAAAGAAAAACAAGGAAGACTAAAAAAACCCACATGGGATAAGAGGTAGTTTTGTTTGCTCAAAATTCCTTTGTCTCTCAAAAGCTGTGGGGCTTGTCTTCCAGTTTCTCTAAGACCCAAGAGGTCACTTTCTGAGCCAGAAAGGCACCTGGAATCCTGCCTTCTAAAGCCATGTGCTCACCATCTGATCACAGACCCTTCATTTAAAAAAAAAAAAAAAAAAAAAAAAAACGGAAGGGGAAGAAGTTAAAACACACATACACAAACCAGTTGATTCAATAAAGAGCTTTTGGTGAGTGCTCATTCCAGGATAATAAACTAAGCAAAGCGTCTGGCTGAATTTAAAATCAACAAAACCAGCAGGAAAGGCAGAAAGAAGGGAACGAAGTGATCAGCTTGTTTTCAAAGCGCCAACAGAGCTGCTTCAGCAGGAGCTGGTGCCGAGAAGCCCCCAAGGGAGGGGAAAGGAGACAAATGCAGACAGGATGGAAGCTGAGGATGGGGAAGATCCCAGCCCTAATGGACTCCACATGTGGCGTTAGGGCCTGTGGTGAGCTCTCCCCAGGATTCCAGATGTCTTGGGGAATTCTGACCTAGGAGCCCAATGGGCATGGAGGGCTCAGAGCCAAGCCCCAGCCATCCCAGCCAGATAATGCATTGGATAATAATGGCTGCATGTACTGGGCACTCCTATGCCAGCCTTCGCTAAGCTCTTTACATGCATTATTATCCCCATTTTGCGAGTGAGGAAACCGAGGCTCAGCGTGTTGACAGGGCTTGTCCACAGCTGCTAAGAGGTGGTCATCTGCCTCATTCCTGAACACAAGCCTCCTTGACACAGAGCTATACTGCATTTAGCCTGGGAGGAGCTGAACAACAAGGTGTGCTAGCCAGCTAACCAGGACTGGGGAAATGGAAATTGGAAGGAATAAGGTTGAAAATATCAAATTGTGGTTAGGAAATGCCAGTCGTAATGCCTCCAGATGAAAGGACTTTCTTTCCCATCCCCACATGCGATGAGGGCTCAGGCTGGCCCTGAAATGCCCCGACAGACAAAGGTGTCCTGCAGACCAGAGAATATCCCCGGGAACCTCGGCCCGCCATACCGATGGTGCAGTGTTCACCATTCCAGCCAGGGCTGCACTCGCATTTGCCGTCGCGGCAGGTCCCATGCTCGGCACAGCGCGGGTGGCAGGCCCGCTGGTCGCAGGCTGCTCCCATCCAGCCATCCTCGCAGCGACAGGTGCCCCCTACGCACACGCCATGGCCGCCACAGTCAGCAGCACAGATCTCTGTAGGGAGGAGAAAAAGGAGGGAGAACACCAGGGCCAGGAGGGGAGGCAGCAGCCGGAGGGGCAAGGGAAGGAGGAGAGACAGACAAACAAGTATTGAGCAAGTTATTGTTGGAAACCAGAGTCACACTTGGTTACATACCTGGGTTTCTGTAACAGATCGGGATTCCAGAGACTCAGGAGACAAATCTCTGTGGTCAATGACCCTTGAACGAGAACAATTCTCCAAGCTGAGGCCTGCCCTGTTCCCGTTTCCCCACCAAAAGAGGAGGATTGAAGATCTCGGCTCAATTTGCTTCTCTCTCTTGCCAGCCTGTCCCTGCCTTTGTGCTTGCCCCTTCCGAAGGGGACCAGACCTCTGAACAGACGTCAGGAAACGTCAAATTTAATTAAAAACTGGTTATGTGTGAAGACAAAGTAAGGATGAGTCCCCATAGCCAAATGAAGTGCTTGTGGTCTGGCTGGGCATGTGATGAGTTCTGGGGCCTGCATTTCATGACTGCCTTGACTCTGATTGAAGTTGAGGCGTAGGACGGAAGCTGAACCCCACCCACTATGGGCATACTCTGGGTTGGTGTCCAAAACCTGCAGTTTGTTCTGTGCTTTTGCTGGGTTTATTCTCAGTCTTTCAGCTTCCTGCTTCCTCACCCCAACTCCAAGAACCATCTAAATGGGGTTTCAGATCCAAAACAAATGGTTTGGAGTGGAGGCCAGAGTGGAGCTGTCTGCCCTTCACAAAGGCCCATCTGTGAGATGGTGCAAAAAACACACGGCCCGATTCACAAGCCCCTCAGGCTCCAGGCCAGCTACAGCTTCATGCTTACTGCAGGCAGAGGTGGTAAAGTCTTCCAAAACGCAACTGCTCTTTAGGAAACAGGTCGAGCAACCATGTCCACTGAAGCTCTCTGCCAGGGCTCTGATGGAGAGAGACTCTGACTTGATTCTCATGCCTCATGGCCCAACATGCTTCAAATTCACATGAAAATCTCAACCCTTTTCATTTCTTTCAAACTACATTAGCTGGCACCTCTGTCAAGGTGCATTTGCTCATTTCCCTTCCAAGCTGCACGCTTGGTTTATAAGCTGCTAATACCTTAGCTACTTTGAAAAAGAATTAGGTCTCAGAAGCTCAGACCTTCCTACCAGTCTATAAGACAATGAATCAAAGGTTTGAGAATTTAAAAATACTAAGAGTTACAATGTATTTTGTGTTCCTGTGCCAGACATCCTGCCAAGCACATTACCTCAAAAGGGAGGTGCTAATTGTACAGTAACACATCAGATTCTTCAGCTGTAAAGTGGGAAGCGATGTCTGAACTGGAGCCAGGGACCTGGGTTCTATGCCAGACCCAGGAGCTTCTAAGCTGTGTTACCTTATAAGCAACAGTTCCTGGTCTGGATACTGTGAGCTGCATGATGCCGCCTTGCAGCAGCCCTTTGCTGACCTAACTGGGTTCTGGCGAGCACCCAGTGAAGTAGATGACAAAAAAGCATGATAAAGATCAAGTAACTCAAGAAAGGCTTCTTGAATTGAGGTCAGCACTGTGAACTTTAGACAGGGAGTTGAGGAGGTTTGTGAGATGTATGCCTGCTCAGCCACTAATCTGCTGTGTGGCCTTGGGGAAGTCACTTTCTTTCTTCTGGGTATTAGTTTCCTCATCTATTGCAGGTGGAACCTGATGTCTTTTAAGGTTCCTTCAAGCTATAAGAATGTGGGATTCTATGACAGAGCACCCTCTCTGTTAGATAGTGTAATCTACCCCCAAGAACTGGCTGAAAAGTAACCCCTCCCCTGAGAAATCTCCTGTAATTCACCCTGTGGGTTATTCACTTGTTTCTGTCCCATTTTTACATGGTAGAGTGTTTTTCTGTTTCTGAGTCTGTCTTACCAGTAGTCTAGGAACAACCTGAGGCTGGGCTAATTCCTCTGATCACCTCTATCCCTGGGACCCAGCACAGATCCTGGTATAGAGTCAACCTCTTATTAAGATTTGTTGGATGATGCCTGGGAATATAGGTGTCTGAGAATGGTAAACATTCACCACACCCCACTTAGCCTGGCTGAAAGTCCCACCAGGCCCACCTGTCTCTAGCAACCTGCCTGTATGAGACTGTCCCACATGAGAACAGGGCTGTGGAGTTACATCAACATCCCCTAGGATGTTGTTCAAGCTCCTTTCCCTTCTTGCTCACATGGACAACAACCTGGGCTTGCCTTAAGATAAATAATGACAATCTCCAGGCCCCAGGATATCCTGGATCCAGTCTCTGGAATTCCCATTTCTTCTGCACAACACTGAAAGGGCAATGACCTCCTGGTGACTCTGGAGGCTAGGGCTGGGGTCAGGGCTGGAACTTGCCCTTGAGAGCCCTTGGAGAGATGACAAATCAGCTGAGTATTTGTTTGGGTTTACTCAGCACTTTTTCCAGGTGGTGGTTTATGGTGTGAAAGTAAACAGTAGACAGCACACTATTCACTGAGGTGTGAGCCAGGAGAGGGGGTGGGCTGCTGGGGCCAATGCCACAGTGTTTTCAGGCAGCAGAGCACATGGAACCCATCACGAACCTAGAGAGGAGGCAGGCTTTTCCCCACAATGAACTTCCAGACTTCAGGTCTTAGCTAAAAGGTACTTCATTCCCTTTATTAAGTCACCTGGAGACAGTATGGATGAAAGACAGTAGACTTGGAATAAGATGTGATTCCAAATCTCAGTTCTGCCAGCTCTGTGACCTACTCAATAGCTGTAAGCTTCCTTCTCTTCCTCTGTAAGGTGAGGGTGATGATGGCAACTACTTCAGAGGCTTCTTCCTGCCTTATATATAGTAGGTATCAATAAATTCATGGTAATTCATGGAATCTTCTAATAATATCCACACATGCCTACTATACACTAGAGACTATTCCTGGTGCTAGGAATACAGAGGTAAGATATAATGTCTGCCCCCCAGGAGATCACAGTCCAGATAAAGCACAAACTAATACTGGCATTCAAAAGATTATCCAAATATCCTGTAGCTATTACTCATGTCTGCACCTTTTTACTATGTACAATGGATTAAAGAACATGGAACTCAGGATCAGACAGGTCTGATCTACACGTGGCTTTGCCACTTACTGGCTGGGTGATCTGCAAGTTGCATGTTATGTAATTCATTGAGCCTTGCTTTCCCTTTCTGTAAAAAGGGGTTAGTAATCCCACTACATCAATCTCACAGGGATGGTGTTAGATCAAATGAGGTAATATGTGGGAAAGCCTTGTTTCATTTAACTAATGCTCACATCGAGTTTTATAGTTTGCAAAGCACTCATCAAGTTTTATAGTTTGCAAAGCACTCGTTATGGACAATTTCTTATTAAACTATCACAACAATGCTGTGAGAATGCCTGCCTGGCTATTATCCTTATTAGAGGGGTGGATACTGAGGCCCAGATAGTATGAGGACATTCTTTGAGGTCATGTGATCATCTAGTGCCTTTTCCTTGTTTGACAATCCTTGAAATAGCACTTCAAGCAGACATTTTACAGACAAGGAAACTAAGTCTCAGAATAGGCAAGGAAGGCTGACCTGTCACGGGTAGCCTTCCATTTGAGGGAAACTCTCAGCTTTTCCAGCAGACCCTGACCTCCTGCCACTTCTGGCCCTGCTGATCCTTTGTTACATCCAAGTCAGACCCTGGATATATACAATGAAAGGAGATCCTCTACAGAGAGTTTCCCAGGCTCTTAGTCTCACCCTTCCCATCTGGAGACTATGGCTCCATCCATCCAAACACCCAACTTCCTTGCCAGTTTACATTAGATGTGATCTTCTGGCATGAAGTTAAAGTGACCTGGTGACTAGGCACCCCTCCACCAGCACCTTACAAGCTGGGTTGTGAGCTCTCACACATTTTACCGAAAGGAGCCTGAACCAAGCAACCTCGATGTTTACGAGGTGCCAACTGATGGTAACACAGCCTGGGAGTGCTTGGGTTCTCTGCAGATGGGCCTGTCTGACTGAGTGAAGAGACCCAAAGACTCAAGATGAGAGTAGAAACCTCAGATACTACTTTATCATTCGGCCTCAAGTCACAGTCCCAATTGTTTCTTATTTTCAAATATCTTGAAACAAAAGGAACTGTTTTATTTTTCCTTCTCAGATTCTGCTTTGACATTAAAGCAGATATAACTTCCTGAAGTGGCTAGTGAAAATGAAACAGGACGATGCTAAAGAATGTGCTTTGACAGCTCATATGTCTTTTATATAATGTAAGTGGTCCTTTGTGAAATGTGGGTCACAGCTCCTCTCCTAGTCACAAGTTCCCTTATGTAAAATGGGGATGACATCAACTACTATACTTTGGAGGACTGCTGTAGGAATTACTTTCATTTGGTTGATTTCTTGGGTCCTCCCTGTGTGCAAGCCCCACAGTGGGCACTGGAGATTCCATGGTGATTATGACAGGCACGGATTTTTTCCTGACCTCAAGGAGTTTACATTCTAGCATGGCAGACAGATAAAACCTAAATCAATTCAGCATGAATGAAAGTATAGCTTCTAACATAGTGCGTGGCACATATTCAGGATATAATAAAGACTCACATTTTTATAAGAAAGGAAATGAGATGTAGTGGCAAGTACACTAGACTTAACTCAGAAGATCAGGTGTGAATTCTGGCTTTTGCAACATATACAATAACAAGGGAAGGTTTGATAAATGGTAGTTGGCTTTCACACAACGAACATCAGAGCTTTCTGAATGAATGTTGGAGGGCTGGGGTCTGGGAGGAATCTTCTGAAGTACTAGGAGTACACAAGCCATAGGGTAGGCTTGGGTTCAGATTTCCCAGCTGTGGGTCCTTGGGAAACTTAATCTCTCTAAGCCAAAATTCTTTACTCCTAAAATGAGGAGAGTTATAAAGGTCCCCCTCCAGGATGAGTGGTGAGAACTGAAAAAAACAGTTTATGTGAAAAGCTCAGCTGGGCATGGTGGCTCATGTCTGTAATCCCAGCACTTC